GCCATATAATATGACACCAGTTATCAACTTGGATCAAAATCAAGGCCCAAGGTACAAAATCAAGCACCTACAACAACTTAGGGATTCTTTGGCAGATTAGAGAGTGAGATTAGAAAGCAGACTTGATAGGATTTCTTTGAACATTGATTTTGAGAGAATTAAGTATATAATAATTTTATAAATGCTTTGCAAAGTCATATTTTTTTTTGGATGACTTTAGAATTTATGAAATGAAAATGATATTATATTTTTAAAAAATTTGTGAGATTGGTAGTAGATCTATAATTCAAAATTAAATATTTTATGAAAATAGTTGTCTAAAGTATATGTTGTAAGTTTTAGTTTGATAAAATAATTGAACTTAAGGCTATGAAATTTCAAGTAGGTTGAGGTCTTAAAAATTGGACTTCGAAAGGTAGTTAGAGTTTCTAAGATCTTTAAAAATCTACTAATTGAACTGAAATAAAATTTGTGTCTAAGAATAATAGACTTGATTTTTTATATATATGTAAAATTTGACAATAATTGAATGGTTCAATAAGGAAATATTGATGTTAGAAGTTCAATATTGAGATTAGAGTAGGAGGCGAATCAACACTTGAGCAAAATTTAGGATTTTTCTTCGATTTGATAAGTGCAATTATCTTCAAATTTTATTTACTTGTTGCCAACTCAGTTGTTAAAAGGTGAGTAAATTTTTAAGAAAAATGAATAATTTGATTGATAGATATTGAGGTTCTAAACTATATTAGGATTAGATTGAGTAGGATTAAGGTTGGGTTTAGGATCTAGGATTTGATCTCGGATTTGATTTAGGTTTTTAGATTTATCTAGGATTTGATTCAAAATTTGATTTAGAATCTAGAGTTTGATTTAGGATTTGATTTGAGATCTAGAATTTGATTTAAAATTTGATTTAGGATTTAAGATTTTTCTAAGATTTGATTTAGGGTTTGATTTAGGATTTAGGACTTTTCTAGGATTTGATTTAAGATTTGGTTCAAGGTCTACAATTTGATCTACATTTTGGTATAGAATTTAGGATTTATCTAAGATTTGATTTAAGGTTTGATTTAGGATTTGGTTGAAGTCCATCAAGATTTCAATTAGGATTAAATTAGAACTTAATTGAGATTTATTCAAGATATATTTGTGATTATTCTAATATTTTTTAAAGCTTCTTAAGGATTCTTTTAAGGTTTATTGTGGATTTTCTTTCAACTCCTTTAAGATTTTTTATTGTTTCTTTTGTAATTTCTTTAAGATTTCTTTTGGATTTGATTAAAAATTATTTAGCATTGTTAAGGTTTAATTAGAGTTTATTTAGTATTCTATTAGAATTGAAATTTTATTATTGTAATTTCTATTCTACCTTCCACATCCAGGTTCTTGGTGCACTCTTAAGCAACAATTCATGTTATACAACATATTTGATGAATCCAATGTAAAAGGCTTCAGGTGGAAGATATTTGATTTTTTTGGATTATTTGAATTATGGAGAAGGAAGGCAAGAGAGTTGAAGGAGGAGCTATGGGTGGTGTATCAATTGGAGCTATATGTGGTAGAACTAGTAGAAGATAAGGTATGGCAAACAAAGCATTACAAGCAGTTGCGGATAAGATTGATCAATTTGAAGGGGAAGATATTACATAATATTTAAGGTGTTATGTAAAAGAAATGGAGTTGAAGTGTGTTTCAGAATGGGAGATGGTTCAATTATTTGAATAAGTCTCTACACTAGAGATAAGAAATCAAGTAAAGTCTCTTATAAGACATTTTAGAGGTTTATGGGAGAAATATTTTCAAGCATTGAAGGATGAATTTTTCTTAGAAGATAGTAATAAGGTTACAAAGAAGTTATTTTTTGAATGAATTGAAAGGCCAAAATAGAAACTTTTAGCAACAAAATTATTAAGGGAGTTTAAAAATTAATATTCTCATTTATCAAAAAAAAGAAACAATTATTGGATCCAAATAAAGTGGAGTTTTTTTTTCAAGAAACTCACAGAGAATTGCAAAAAAAATTAGAAATTGTGCTTGAAGATAAAGAAGAAGATGAAGGATTAACAACAAATTGGAAGGAAGTAGAAGAAATAATAGGATTGCTTGCAAAAAGAGAAAAGAGAAAGGACAAGGTGGGTATTCAAAGGCCATTACAAGAATATTAGATAAGAGTACCTACTATCAATTTTACATCTATGATTCAACCTTCAATGCTTCATCAATCTTCAATGCTACATCAAAGAAAGAAGAAATGGACATTAATGAAATTATATGAGGAATGAGAGATTTACAAATAAAATTTGTAAAATTGGAAGAGAAAGGTCAATCATCAAGAATATCAACAAAATAAAGATTAGGATCAATGGAAGATGTAGTACATATGTTATGATAAAATGGATCATTCAAAAATGGAATGTTAAGATTTTAAAAAGGTGCTATGTAAAAAAATTATTTTTTTTAAAGATGGTATGATATACCTAAAAAAAAGTAGAGAAAAATTAGAAACAAACTTTGGCAATGGAGATATAAAAGCATTGATGGTTCATGAAAAAGAAGCAAAGACATATAGGATTGGACTTACTCAAGAATATGTTGGCATAAGCATTGAAATATCAGATCATACAAGTTCATTGTGGCTAAGTGCAATGAAGTATGTGGCAAATGAGAAGGTTGCTAGAGATATATTACTTAATGCAATGTTGTACTATAATTGCTAATAGTATGTAAAAATTAGTTAGAACATATAATATGTTCATAAGTCTTGGTATGTATTAGAATAGTTAATAGATTAATTTAAAGAAATTGGATATAAAAAACTTTATTTTGAATTTATTTATTTTGATTATGGCATTTAAAAAATTATAAGACCTAAATGTTTAGTATGAAGCCTTGAGAGGAGATTAGAGTCTAAAGAAGAAAATCTAAACTAATACGAGGCTTATTGGGAGGAATGAAAGCAAGGCATGGTTGGATGAAGGCAAGGAATGGAGATCTTCATCCCTATTGGTCAAAGGCCATGCTCAATGGACTTCAAGGAGGTTGTCAAAGGCCTTATTGGGGATTAGGATTTTTTTTTCAAGGTCATTCGAACTTTTAAGGCTAGAATCAACAAATTTAGATTTTTGGATACAGATAGAATACAAATTTTGTGTGATTTGGAGTTTTTATAAAGGAATTATTGGCACTCAAAGTTAAGGTATCAATTTCATACCTATTATCATTCTTTGGAGCATAACATATGTTTACGAAGAGTTATAAAGGATTAGTTAATAGGATTGAAAAAAGCACTTTTTCAACTATACTTTTTATATATTTTTTGACGAATTTGGAATTTGGATAAAGATGTTATAGAGAGTTGAAGTTAGTGCATCCAAAAAAAAAGTAGTAAGTAAGTGATTTTATTCATAGTAATGGTTGGAGCCATATCTTGAGTTTTTGGACTAATTTTTGGCTCAAATCTTTTAAGAAAGATAGATTATTATGTTAAGAGGCTAAATATTTAAATTTTAAAGAATTTGAATATTTTTTTGTGAGATATATAGAAAATTGCATGTAGGTGTATAAAAACTAGGATTTGAAGCTATTGTTAGGATTTTGGTGATATCTTAAGATCCATGACGAATTTGGAGTTGAAATTTGTTGTAATAGTTGGACTAGCTAGGGCCTTTTGAGGCATCTAGTCAAGTATGGCATTGGACCCTTTTTCTTGATACAATTGGATTTTGTAACTTCTTGTTGTATTCTGTTCTATCTTAATTCCGGTTGCTCAGTTTTGTCTTCCATGTCTCATTTTGTTTTGTTTTGTTTTGTTTTCTTCTAGACCAATTTGTCCTACCTTGTGATGAGATTTTATGTTGTTGTAGATTACAAGGATCTTGGACACTTGAGATAGACTAAATATGTTTCATATATGTTTTCTTGTATTATTTGGCTAAATTGACCTTATATGATTTGAATTTTGTTTTGTAGCAATCATTTCTATCATATAGTAGCCAAATCAAAGATTTAAAATCAAAAGATGTTGAATTTTGATATACAATAAAGTTTAGGATAGGAATTTTTTTTACAAAGTTGGCTCTTCTTGTATTGGTACTATGTCCTTTAAAACATGTATCTTTTAACTAACTTAAATATATTAGTATAACATACAAACATGACTTCTAGATTTGTGTGCCAAATTTGTTCAATCTATATATTTGTATAAATACATATTTATATATTTATATATATTTTTATATATATATATTTATATATATATATATATATATTTTTATATATATATATTTTTATATATATATATTTTTATATATATTTTTTTTTATATATATATATATATTTATATATATATATATATATATATTTATATATATATATATATATACATACACATTTTTTTTGTTAAACATTAAAATACTAATTTTTAATAATAAGGATATATAACACTTTTTCATTTTCAAGCATGGTCAACACAATAGTATTGTAAATAATAATCTATTATTAGTTTTAGACTTTTTGTTTTAGATATGGTTGAATTTTCCGTTAAATAACCATGAAAAATTTCACCAAAAAGTTATCACAGAATGATATTTCAAAAAATTTGTTAATTGTTTTTAAAAGTATTAGATTATAAAAGTTCTAATTTGTCTGCAACGAGTACCTCCATGAAAAATATTTCGAGTCCTGTAGTATTAAAAAAATTCATGAATTCCACGTAAAATATTAAATGAAATCAAAAAAGAAAAAAACTTGAGTCCATTAAAGTACATGCTCAAGATTATAATTTGTTCAGCTGTTCTGGTACGGTTCGGTATACGACAGAGCCACAAAGCAAGAGGATGAAAAAGAACACCCAGAATGAAGTGGCGCCCATTTAATCATCCATCAAAATGTCTCGCAGACACTGTCTACGGTGGCAGAAGCCGATAAAATTCAAGCTGAGTCAACACATACTCGTGAACCGTGTATTTTAAGAATATACGGTTATGCACATATGGATGCGGTATAGAATCCGCTTCGCCGTCGAACATTGAGCAGGAGCGCGGAAATTGGAGGCACTGCTGCGATTTCTGATGCTGGGTCCCCACGGAAATTGAAATCCGAACTTGGCCTTGCTCGCAAATTCGAAGCTTACCCAACGTTGCGTCGTCTTTGAAGAAGCTCCGGAATCGTGCTGCATTTGCCCCGGAAGAAGCCGCACGCTTCGTGTCCTCGAAGCTCGCCGTTCGGTGGTCTGCTTCGTGCAATTCGTGGTTGCTGCGCTCGGATTCTTTTGGTGTATGAGAAACCCCCTGGAATTCGAATGTCGTGCGTTGTAACTGCGGCAGAAAAAACTGTGCTGATAGAATTTTCACTGCTGGTGGTGGTGGTCGGACTGGTAGGGAAGAGCGTGGCGGGTAATGTGATGGAGGGCGGGGTTTAGCGGGTGTGAGATGAAGCTGAAGCTGGGTGATCAAGGTGAGCTGAGTGACCAATTCAAATGATGGGTTACATGAAGCTCGGGAGAGGCGCGCCGGGAGTGGAGAAGATTGGAAGCATGGGCTTTAGTAACGGGGAGATTATGAGCAGGCAGCAGAGGGCAGGCGAGGTTAGGTTTTCGCCCAATTCATTTCAATATACTGCGTTTGAATAATTGTTTTTGGCATGCGTTATGTTTACAGGCGACAAGATTCAGACTTGCAGGGGTGGTCACAGCCGTTGGAATGGGGAATGCGCCTTATTGTTACATGGTTTTTTTGTTCGAGCTCTATTGGCTGTTCGAATTGGCTTCGCCATCATCGTTTCAGGTGAAGGGGAAGAGGTCCTACCCATGGAGGGCAATTTGCGAAGGAAGCCCTAAGACAGGGCTCACTGGAGAGTTCGTGTCACTCATTGGCAGCCATGCCCAGCTGTTTTCGTCAGCAAATGCCAAATGCGATCTTCTGCTGCTTTTCTTCATTGCCTTGCTTTTTCAACTGTACCCTTCCACTCGAGGAGCTCGCCATTGCCTCTATAAGGACTAGCTTTTGATTCAGCAAATGAGGGTCATGAACGGCGCCATTGCCTTGATCGTCGTTGTGCTGTGTCTGGAAGTGGGGGTTGTATTCTGCTCGTTCTAGTAATACATCCAAATATCATCTCCTTGGAATGACTCTCTCGTGACAATCGCAGCAATGGGAGGTTCAGCGGGATTGGGAGCATATCTAGTTGGACTTATTGGAGATGCTGTGTGATCTCTCTTTTTCTGTTCTTATGGTGGCGGCTTCATTTTCGGCATCTGACTCTGTCGGGTTGCCCAGGACGGTTTGCGACTTCTTATAGTAGCACATCAATTTCTTTTTTTTTATTCAAAATCTTTCGATCCTATCATATATAATCTGCAACACACCTAGATCATTCATGTGTTGAATTTATCAGCTTGCAGTTGCACTCTTTGAGCTTACTGATGGTTATAATGATGGCAGTAATGTTGAATTGACCTTAGCAAATACTTTGCAGGTATATTATTGGAGGTGGTGTGGTGGCAATTGGTGTCCCTGGGCTTGACATCCTTCCGAATATAGCGCGATATGCCGCTGAGGTTGGGCTTGTGGGCCATGCTCTGATAGTGTGTCACTTGGAGAATCAACTTCATAGTCTCACGAGTATGTACTATTTGTCAATGGAGGATGATGTGATATATATTCAATTTACATGGTCGTTTTCACTGCAGTTCTATGATTGGTTCTGGTGCTTCGCTTAGGAGCAGACAAGAGGATAAAATCAGTGTCCTACTGGCTGATGACATGCCTCCAGTTGTCCAAGTTTTTAACGTTGTTCCTGAGTTCAGCTCATGTTGTATGCGCGTCTGCGTTGATGCCTCTCGCAATTACACCACCACTCTGTGCTCTAAAGTTTTAAAAATCGTTGGAAAATAATTCTGTCTCAATTCATTTATTCAATGTAATTCAACACACTTCATTGTGGATTGTGTCTCCATCTAAAGAAACTGCCTCTTAAACGCTTGACTGTCTTTTAATTTCTAATCAGTAAGTGAATATGAGTATGGCATTTAGTATCCCATCTTCTTTTAAAATAAGGATTGTGATAAAAAAAAATTGGATGTAAGTTTTGCAGTTTCATCCTTATCGTTTAGGCTGCTGTAAGGTTTGCATTCAAAGTACTAGTTATTCTTTCGTATTCCATGAGGTTGTTAATACTTTTTTATGTGTAATTTTTGCAGGGATAGATGAAAGGGAGGATTTAGGATGACGCCATGGCAAGGAATGGGCCATGGCGCGGTTGTAGGCATATCACTTTTGCTATGTCGCTTTACGACATTTGAAGCTTTATAATGGTGGACAGGAGTGCCTCTATCAGATGGGTTGATGCTGGGCACCTTAAATATGTCGACAGGTATTGCAGGTGCTCCGATCGTCACGCAGTATTTCCCCAACATACAGGTATATATCATCTTCTCCAGCCGACATGATCATCTTAGTGTAATGAAACGATACCCAATACTTGCAGCAGGAAGTTTCTTAGATTCTGCTCGTGATGAACTCTATTTATTCGGTAGCTGCTATGGAGGTGTGTCTGGAGAGGTTCATATGTCTAGGCAGAACACGCGGATGAAAGAATGTGAGTCTGGTTGTAGATTATACCAGGTCTCAGACACCTTAAGTATGAGGGAGAGAATGCACCGTGAGAAGTCTGCTTGAAGCTTTGCAATACAGCAGGTCACAGCTCTAGATGCAGAAAAAGAGGTGTAGAGTTTGTTGAGACGTCTGAGCGAGCCAACCTGAGCCCAAGTCGTATTAAAAACTGCTGCAGTATATCATTGCTTTCTAACTTATAATGTAAATTATGTTTGCAAGTCTGCATAAAGTCCTACAAGAACTGATAATGTATCGTGATCAGCTTACTTGAATCTCTGAAATAATATAGAATCCATCACTGGATCCATGCACACAGCGGTGCTGAGTTTGTTTATTCGTCTGAGCTATTAAATCTGTGTTTGCACTAAAACAAGGTTTTCACAAACATAGCGCTATGTTTGTGAAAACCTTGTTTTAGACCTTGAGTTGGGGCTTGTGGAACTATTTGATTATGAAGTGCGATTTGTATGTGCTTCTGACATGATCATCCTTTTTGGTGTAGAGTGTCAAGAGAGACTTGGTGCTTGTGATGTCATTAGGTTTCTCCTAAATCGACTACGTTTCAGCCTCCGATACCAGAGGGTTGGACTTATCTGTGGGACAAAGCTCACATGCCGGTAAAATCTGCTGATAGTATTGCTATTTATGGAGCCGCAGCAGATCCGCCTGCTTGGCCAATATTTCTTCTCATTATAGCTCTCGACGTATCAAGTTGCCTTTGAAATCATGTTGAAGTTGACAACCATCATAGCAGACAGGGTTTTCTAGAAGATTGTGGACGGTCATGGGCCCAAATTTCGTCTCACTCAACAGTGAAAGCCCTCATCAACCAATGCATTCAGTATGAAGAAGCTCGCTGCAGAGGGCGCGTGGATGGCAACCATTGGCAATATGGCAACACTACTATGCTTCATCCTTTGTCTAATTCTTGACTCTCACCTAGCTGGAGGCTCTGACGTGTCAATTGTCCTCACACCAATTTTATTGCTCTTAAATCAGGACTACAATATGTCTGGTTTTGGAAACCGACAGCGGTACTTTCCAGTGACTGCAGCGGTTTCAGGTTATCTAATTGTTTCAGCAGGCTGTCGGTTGTGGATTGAAGTCCATCACGGCTACCAGAGTTCGGACTGGGGGATGCAGACAGGTGGACCTGGTCTTTTTTTTATCTTGCAAAGAACATATTCTTCCTTACCTTCATCGTGACAAATCATTGTTTGCTTGTTTCTTTCTTTTCTTTTCTTTTCAACTCGTTCATGTAGAACTATATCAAATTGTCGGACAGGTTGTTACTCTTGACGACGCCAACGAATTTGCCAGCAGCCATTGCAACCAACATTATCATCATCCGATTCTTAGCCTGCGTAGGAATGGTCTATGCCCTTGTCCAATATATAATGTCCAATGTCCAGGACCATTCGGATCGCTGGGATGAGATTAATTTGAGACAACTTTTCCTCGACCCCTGTGAGATGTAATCAGGCCATGGAACGTCTAACAGCAGCATTTTCCTTGAGGTGGGAAAGCGAAACCATGGCCTTGCATTATCAAATAGTTGTTGATGGAGCTGTAAGTATTTGTGTAATTTTTTCCAGCGTATTGTGGAATTCAGTGCCGGGGCCCACTAGATTAGTTGCAGGATAGTTGTCTGGGTTTGATACCGTGTGTTTATGTGAACTTGGTCAATAAGTCCGCCACTCTTGAGTAACTGAAGTTGTAGTTGAGCGTCGAGGATATGTGATTTGTGCAGGAATAGATAAACCCCAGTGGTTAATTAATGAATTAATTAATTAATTACATCGGTTAGTACTCTCAGATCTCCAATAAAGTCAGACGACGAGAATAGAAATGATTGTGCATGGCATTCTTCTCTAGTCTAGTGAATTTCTTACTGGCTTGATCAACTTTTGTAGAATTTTCACAAGACGTCTCATTCAACTTTTAAGCTTATGCAGCTTGTACTAGTAGGAGCTTTCCTTTAACGCAAATGTATAAATATCCTGTGATTCTTGAATGTTGTTTGGAATGTACACAGATGGGGCCAACAATAGAATGGAGCTCATTACAGTACAGTTTTCAATGGATAGTTGTGTACATAGCAATACTTGTTGTCGAATTTTCTTGTACTGGTGCTTGATGGATGTACTCGTGGAATGAAATGGTGGTTCGAAAAATTGTGGATTAAAGTACTTTTTTATTACTATGTTTGAGTATCTCATCAAAGGCTTGTTTAACGGCCTTTGCTTATAAATATCTACTACTTGGATTGAAATTTTGAGTTTATTTCATGTTGGATGTTATGTAAAACAATTGTAATGTGTTAACTTTGTTATGATGCCATTGCTATCTTTATTTTTGCTACAATGCCTTAGTTTTTATTTTATGTTTTTTATGTTCCAAATATAAAAATTAATCACCAATAATACATAGGTATGTATATAGGCATGTATGTATAAGAAAAATTTATCTTGAGTTTTAGAACATCAAAACATTATAGCTCAAGCTTCAAGGACATCCAAGTAAAAATAATAAAAAAGTGCCACATGTACACTTTAAGTTGTTATATGTTGTGTTATGTGAAAATTAATTTAGAAATATATTGGGCATCTAGTTGTAGAAAACAAATTATATTTGCAATTAACAAAGAACCTAATACTCTTAATAAAATTCTTAATAAATCTTAATTGAATTTAAAAATTATAGTCAAATTTAATTCAAATCTTTAAGAATCTTAAAGAGTTTTTAAAAGAATCATTATGTAATTTATAAAAAAAATCAAAGAAATCATAAAAGAATTAAAATAAATTCTAAAAAGAATCCTAAAGATTTCATAAAGCAATCATAAAAATTCTTAAAAATAAATTCTAAAGAAGTTATAAAAAAATCCACTCACAATATTTGGCTTCAATCTAACCAATATATTACTAAAGATCAAAGAAATCCTTATTGACCAATGAAGTCCAAATTTTGAGACTCAAATCTAGTTGGAATTCAAAAACCTTTGATCTAATTGTTAGATTGAGTTCAAATTCATAAAACAAATTTAAGACAAATAGATACACAAGCTTGTAGTTTTTTACCTATTAATATATTATAATGCTTATAGAATTTTTAAACATATAAAGTCTCTTTTATTTCTTAAAAATCCAAACAACTTAAAACACTTTTCACTTTGAATTCAAATCACTTAAAATCAATGCTTAATCAAATCTTAGTAATTATTTTTGTAATCTTCTTTAACAACAAACCAAAGAATCCTAGAATTGTTATAGATGCATGATTTTAAACCTTGGGATCTATTTTTAACTTTGGTTTATAACCGATCCTTTTTAAGTAGTAATTTCTAATTTTTTAAGGTAATTTTTGATATAAAATATTCTTAATTTTTTCTTTGAAATGTCTATTTTTTTTTTAATATGTATATGGCCTTACAAAATAAATATAATTTTTTTTCAAGGAAGCAATATTGGCACCAAATGTATTTACTACTACTGTATCTTTTATCTATATTTTTTTAAATAATATATTTTTTTTTCAACTTATAACCATATTATAATAAGGCATCTACTTTCTATAAACCTATGCATCCTTTGATATGTGCCAATTAATTCAAATCTTATTATTAGATTTACACCATGTTTTTTATATCATTATCTAAATCTTTTTCACCATTTTCGCTATACAAGTCAAACTTATCTTCTTGTCTTAGAAGGTTTAAGTCTTCAACAAGATCTTCTATATTAATTCATGTATGTCTTTATTTGAATATATTTACTTGCTTCCCAACAATTTGTATTGCCAATCTTGTTCTATCAAACTCTTATAATAAATATGTTGCATTATAATAAACAACTATTACCACATGTAAAATAATATTTTAAAGACTTCTTTAAAGTACTATGTTGATTTTCTAAGCTACTATCATAGATCAAAATCCAATCACCTTCATCAATTACCTTAGGTCTCAATTGATGTTGTTTATCAAATCCAACCTTGTATTATAACCTTCCTCTTTTCAACCTTATAATGCATTTGCACATCTTTTGATCTTTGTTCAATTTAATAAATCCTGCTAACTAAAAATTCATCTCTTGTCAATCCATCTTCTTTTGGTAGTATATTCTAAGATGGTACTTTCTTTTTAATAAAATATTTTTAAATTATCATAAGCTTAATAGATATATGTTCTATTGTTAAATTGTGAATTTTTTGAAAAGCTTATAATATAAATGGAAAAAATCAGGGCCATTCTCTAATCCTCTTATTACAAACTTTAACTAATGTTTTCACAATTGGTGGATGACCATGCTTACTAAGAATCCCACCAATAGATTTTAATTAGTGGAACTATTAAAAAATAGTTTTAAGTTAATTAAATATAAAATATTATAATTAAAGAATATTTTGTTATTATTTATGTATTTATTAGAATTTAGATGGATTTATAAGTCATAAGAGTCTTATTAGAAAAAAATTATAAAAATAGAATCTTATTAAGTTTTGGAAGTAATTATCTCAGTTGGTTTAGTATTTTTGCTTATTGTGAAGTATTAATGGTTAGTTATTGAGACCAATATCTATACTAGTTTTTTATTTATATGTCTTATAAAAAAAAACTATAAATTTTAGTTAGCAATTAAAAGAAGCATAAAAAAGAATATCATGTCTTTTTAATTATTTATATAAAAAAAATATGATTTATTATTGATTTATATTTTTTATTACTAAAAAAATATTATAAAAAAATTGATTTTAAAATAATATTAGAATATCATAGAAAAATTATAATTTATTTTAAATTTATTTTAAATTTTTGAAGAAGTTTTAGAGCAATTTTCAAGACTTAAAGAAACATGAATTTTACCACTTTAGGAGCTATTGTAGAGAAATAGAGCAAGACTTGGAAGGCTCTACAAGATTCTTAGATTAATTGCATATTTTAAAAGAAAATAGTGAAGTCAAAAATAAAAAAATATCAATTTTACTTATAAAAAATAGTAAGACCAATAGCTAGTCTAGGCCTTGTAAAAAGGGAGGTGCACAAGTTCTATATGGATTGTAACACCTTAAATGTAATTAGGAGGATAAGACTAAGGCCTTGTAGATTCTTTTAGACACTCACATATACTACTTGTGAGCCTTCATGAGATTCAAACATTTGATCTCTTAAACAAATTATCTTTAAAGTATACAATTTCACTTAGCTTTTCTATTATTTACATGCCATCATTAAACTATTATAACTTATTTGTAGTAACCTAGATATATATATATATATATATATATATATATTACGTCATCATAAAGATTAAAAATAAATAAATAAATAAATAATCCTATTTTAAATTTTTATTTTTATTAAATGATAATCTACTAAATATATTGTGACTAGTTTTGTCATGTACAATTAATTGATTGCACTTATATGACTTATTTTGTATTATTCTTCTTTTATTCTTATTCATTTCTACTGATACTTTATACGATTAATTTTTAAAAAACTCTTAATTAAGGCCATCTTATAATTTGGATTGAAAGGTGAATATTATCCTTATAATTAGGTATTTTCATAAAAAAGCATCAAAGACATCATAGAAAATATTTTTAAAAATTTAAAGAAATCCTTAAAAAATCATAAAGAATTTATGAAGCAATCATAAAAAATTCTTTAAACAAAATATTTATTATGTAAGAGAGAGAAAAAGCATAAAAGAAAAAAAATAAAACAAAACAAAACAAAACAATAAGAAATAAGAAAAGAAGAAAGTTGGGATAGAAAAGATGTGAGATAGATACAAAGAGAGAGACACTCAATTTTTGAATCCAAGATTCGAAAAAAATATAGAGAGATTATAAAATCACCTAATCTATACAAAATTTAATTCTTGTTTGTATTTTTATAGGAGCTCTACATCTGAAAATTTCTATAGGGGCATTTCTCCTTAACCCTATCTATTGATCAATTATCAAGACTGCCATAGGGATGTAGTTGCTCTCCCTTGATCCTTCTCCCTCCTCAACAATTATTGCACGTGTCAAGCTCCACACAACAATAATTAGACAATTAGAGGCCTTCATTTTGCTTAAGTGTACATATAGCAATTTGGAATGTGCATATAACAACTTGGAGTGTGTTTGTAGCTTTACCCAAACATTATAATCTCTAAAGTAGTATTCATCAAGATTATAAATTTAATGAATTTTTTTTTTAATTTTTTAATTTTGTAAAATTTATAAAATACTTTAACATTGAATATGTATTGTACAATCTATATGTCTTTAAGAAAAATTAATAATAATAAGTTATGCAAATTTCATATTTTTTTTAATACATAAAGTATTTTATTTCTAATACAAATATAAATATATAATTATAATCATATATATATGATTTTTTAAAATTATGTAAAATTTAAATCTGATTATAACGTAATAATAAATTAATAGAATTTCTTTTAATTTCACATTTTGTGTTATTTTTAATATTTTATAAAAATCAATAAAATACCTCAAAAAAACTTCTTATTGTAATGATTAACTAATACTAATTATATACTTAAATAATTACCACATAAATATTTAGTATTTTTAAAAATAATAAAAGTAGTATTTTAATAAAAAAAAACTTATTATTGTATTATTTGGATTTTAAAATAATTATTTATATTTTTATGGTATTTTTAAAACATATTTTAATATACATGAATGTACCTTACTTTTAAAAAATAAAATTTAAAAAATCATCTTTTTAAAATAAACAAGATTTATTTGTAACTTTTTTTTTAAGTTTTTTGTGTAAATTTTTGCAGTTATTTAATACTAAAATAATCCATTATTATCTTACCACCAAATCATTAAATTTAATCCTATTCCAAAATTTATAAGATATGTTCAATTAATTAAGGTGATATTTATTTTTTAATTTTTTAATTAAATGTATAAGATATTCTAAAATTTAAAATTTAAATATCTTAAATTTATTTTACTATTCTATTATCAAAAGATATTATT